TCTATTGCCCCGTGAACATTTAACTAATTTTTTAATCCGAACTCAAAACTTACAGGCCTGTTGGCTGTAATGAACACCGGAGCATAAAAGTGAGTATGTATCTGTCTTTTGGAGCCGTGCGATTAGGTATGTACTTGGTATATCAAGAATAAAAGACCGACCACTTCTTTTATCAAAATCTTTATTGCATGAATATGTTCCTCAAAGCATAACAAGAAAACAAACACACAGGAATATATGGTTTGCTACAAGTGTCTTATCTCTGATCTTGGTTTGGTAGCTAGCTTTATTTTGACTAATTAAATATACTTCCCATGCCCGAAACAAAAAAGTAAAAATAAAATACCCGTATGTAACACTAATTATTTTCCCGGAATAGTCATAACTCATACTATATTTTTAAGATAAAATACAAACCTTATATATCTAGGGGAAACCTCTTAGGTACAAAAAGCTTGTAAACAAGTCTAACTATTACTACATCCCTAGAATGGGTCGCTTTTTTAGATTATACAACCACCGAGGAATATTGTGTTGTAGTCCCTTATATTTAAGTCCATATACTAGTATCTTTCATAATTTTGTGTCTGCATCTAAACGCCTTATTATTTTGTGTTGTAAGGGAAAGTATTTTGTGTTGTAAGGGGAAGTCAATAACAACAAACATGGCGTGTTCCTAGTCTATTTATCAACGTACGACGGGACGAGGTGGATATGTACATTTGAAAGAGAAAATCTTATAGATTATCCCATGTTTGTTTATGCTTTTCACATGTATAACAAAAATGGTACATTGCACTTGATAGCATCGTACTTTCCTTTATCTTCTTTTAATTTTTCATGTGTATTTGATAATTGTGAGATCCAAAATAAAGAAATTTACCAAATGAAGAACCCCCGCTTGTTTAATGTGGTTGAAAGCAAGGCTAAACATAGTCGGACATTTCCCAAATGATCATACTAGATGAGCGAGAGATAAACTAGTAATAGGAAGTGGAGGTTGATCAACGCACTGATGCCGTGATAGTTGTGAGTATGCAAGAGGAATATATAGGAAGTGGAGTGACATACGACAAGTATTTTGATTTTCCTCGAAACAGAAACGCATCAGATGAAAGAGTTGCATTACTTTAAGTTAAACTTAATAATGACAGACAAGAGCATGAAAAAAAAAGTAATCAAGAACTTGTTCGACGAGGTAGCACAAACATAGGGAATGGTTACTAAACTAATGAGTCAGTTGGCTTGACAATAGGAGAAGTTAAAGTCATTATCAACTCAATTTCTAGCATCAAAGGAAGGACACTTATTATGATTTTGCTAACATTTTCATTTTCTATTTCTAATAAATGTATTTCTTAATTTATATTGTAGGTGTCTCTAGTGGACATTAATCCTAAAGCTAGCAATACTCATCAAGAGGATGGAACCTACTTAAGTGTTGTTGGATGTTGGAAGGATGCAAACATTCAGAAGTCTAATGGACTTGAACTTCAGAAAAGGAAATAAAAACAATGGTAAGTTATAAAACATTTAATTTACATTGATTTTAGTATTTCCAAATGTGATTTTTGAATTTACATACATGAATTACTTACCGTTTTTTATATGGGAAATTCGTAACTCTGTGGGATTTAACAAAACACATAATCACAACAAAATGCATCTCCACGTCCAGAGTAACAATCACCACCAGTACTATCACAAGTACGTATTTCGACATGTTCATATTGATGGGTTTTACATGTATTAACACGGATAAATCGTTAACACTTAAGGGTATATGCAACCTAAAGATCTAAGTCCTAATACTATTGATGTAACATTCTATTGAACAACAACAACCCTCTAACCCTAGGTAATTCTGAAAATTGTAGAAGAAAAGCCATACCTTTTGATTATTGTGGTAAACAGTCAAGAATCCTTTTCTCCAATAACTTGGAAGCTATCATCAAAAGTGCCGTGATTCTGATGGTTTACACCCAAAATTAGCGACAATAAGCTTTTGAAAAAGGAGAGGAGATATGAGATTTTCAGCTATCTTTAGAACAGGAGGAGTTGGCCAAAATATTAAGCTCAAGGGGTCCTTTTATAATGCAACTTGGAAACCCTAGATAATTCTAAATGAATAAACTAATATTTATACAAATTTGTAATTATCCAACTTCCTATTTATCTACAAAGAATATTCCAGATACCATGAAATACCCTAGAATTCGTCCACCTCCTTCCGGGGACAGTTCTGGACTCTTTCTTGTTTAACTATTGAATAATTGTTGTAACATATCAAAAATTAAAACAAATTTGAACTTTTAAAAAATAACCCAAAACCATAAATATTAATGAAAACATTGTTTCAACAGTGTATTTCCGCAATCAGGGTATCCCAAAATCCAAATAACATAAAACCAAAGGATGTATACGATCATGCATTTGCCTTTTCACGGTCATCTAAGGTACCTGGAACAATAAATTGAAACTGTAAGCCAAAATTTAATGAGTTCCCTAAAGTACCACCATAAAAGATAACAACAACAACAACAACATGCATACAAAGCATTCAGCATGACTGGACAGTTACATCGGCCTTCAGCCTATCTGGACCGCTCTCTGGGCCTTTGGCCTGACTTGACTGCCTCACAGGCCTTCAATCTATCTGGACCTCCCTCGGTATTTTGGCCTTTAGTACTAGCTGGTCCGCCTCAACCCAGTAAACCAGAACATATCGATATAAACCTTATCAATCAATAGCAAAAAACACAGGTAGTCCTACAGATCTACGAATCTAATCACAAAACTAGTAACCACATATCTTCGTATAATAACATACAAAATTTTTGAATATCTAATCCAATAGGATGGCCTTCGTGCCTTCGACCCATAAGTACTGTAATGAAAACTCACATCTCAGTCTGAACAAATAGCTAAATAGGTCTTTGCTCCGAATCTCAACTCTACCCGTCACATATTCATCAAATAGTGACCATTCTCAAATACCACTCAAAATACCCAAAATGCCTTTACTTCAAACTTGGTCAAGGTCAAAGTCAACTACAGTTGGTCACCACACCGTGGCCATCCTTGGCTATGACGTGGCTACTAGATGACAATCTTGTCGAGTTGTGGGAACCTTGGCCACGTCATTTGAACTGGGCTCCAAAATAGCTTAATCGATTAAGTCGATTTCCTTGATCTAAAGAGCTCCAAGGCCCATATCTAGTCCATTCTAAGGTCTAAGTGGATAAAGTTTCTAACTTTACCCCTCTAGAATCTCTAAGGGATAGATATCCTTATTTCTAGACCTAAAAGGGTAAGAACAAAGCTTGGCTTAACCCATTAAGCACTTTCTCTTAAAGACAACTAGATCCCATTTTTTCCAAAATGTTCAAGCATCAAAATATAACCTTACCTTTTAGATATTCATGTTCAATGCATGTCTTGGACTCTATTAGGAAAAAAATAAGGGTTTTTGGCCAAATCTTCAATGCATATTGCTAAAACTCAGTGATATTCCAAATCCAAAGCATCTAAGATCGAAAATGACCTGGAGATTCATAAAGTAACAAACTATATGAGATCTCATCACCCAATAATCTGGGACATGAAGATTAAGGCATAAAAACCAAGATCTATTCACTTTAATCAAAAAAGCTTGGAACATAGGGACTTACAAGAGTCCAAAAGATGCATAAGAAGATGGTGAGAAGATTTGCTTGCTGAATCCTGACATAGAAGTTACATCCTTCTGAATAAATCGCCAAAAATTAACATAAAAGGCATAGAGAACAAAAATGGAGGTTAGGGTTTTCTTGGAGACTGAGAGAGTGTGATGGCGGCTGAGGGTGAGAAATTGTAGCCCTCATATTATGGAGCAAACCCCGGAAATTAGAGTTTCTCATTATACATGGCAGTAGGCTACCACATCGTGGCAGCCATTTAAAACCGATGATACCACGACCATTGCCACATCGCCTGATTCCTTTACCACAAATGTTACTATTCTTCCCCAATTGAATCAGACTTCGTTCTCGAAATCGGCTACTCAAAAAAACTTTAGGTAATGCTCCATAATCACTTACTCGGATTCCTAAGTCCATTCACAACCCTTCTGATGTTGTCACTGGACCTTGACCAAAGACACCACCTTGTTGCGCAAAGCCTTCTCCTTTCAATCTAAAATCGCTTGTAGTCTCTCAATGTAGTTCAAGCGATCATCAACCGGAACATCATCCAAAGGAATAATCACTGAATCATCATCCATACACTTTCGTAGCTGTGAAAAAAGGAAGGTGTTGTGAATCTGACTGAGCTCCTCATGCAATCCAACCTATAAGCTACCTTGGAAATCACGCGAAATAGCCTAATATATCGGGGCCCCAACTTTCTCCTCTTCCTGTAGCACATTACATGCATGTAACGACCCAAATTTACTTCCATCAGCAATATCAACATCCGTTACTCAATAAGTGTTTATGCAAATGATTTTTGGTTTTAACGTTTTATAATGAAATGAATTAAATAAAAATGGTGTTATTTAATATAGACAAAACTTCAAAAATGGTCCCTGTGGTTTCCGAAAATATCAAGTTTAATCCCTAAGTTCAAAAAACCTCACAGATGGTCCCTGTGGTTTCAAAACTTTTAACAAATGGTCCTTCTGCCTAACTCCGTCAACTTTCTACCGTTAAGTGAGGGGTATTTCTATCATTTCACTACCCAGGGACCATTTATGAGGTTTTCTATTGTTTTTTTTAAATAAATAAATAAATATGCAAGGGGTCTCACTCATCTCTCTCTCTCTCTCTCTCTCTCTCTCCCATTGTGTGTTCATCCCAAGAAAACTCAAAAGCTTCAACTGTTTGGTCACCCCTAACCCCCCCCCCCATTTCTCTCTCTTCGTTCATCTCTTCCCCTTTCTCTCTTCTTCTCTATTCTTCTCCATTCTTCTTCTTCCTCTAGAAAAAATCCCCCCCACTTCCCTTTTATCTGATTATGATTTTTTAAACCATGTCTCCAAAAGTTAAAGAACTTTTTTCAATTGGGAGACTGAGAGCTATTTGTAACCTTCTTTTGACTGTATAAGCATTATCACTTTGATCTAGCTCCATTCCTAAGACACATCCGGATTCAGTTTGAACAAAGGCTCGTCTTCTTCCTGTGAAATGTTTAATCCCTTCCATTTTAGTGTTTCCATGGTATTCATCTGCAGCTATTCCCCAATACAACTGTACTCCTCCATCTGAACCCTGTAATTATAGTTTTTTTTTCATTTAGGCATTTTCACGAACAATTGGTAGGTGAGACAAAGTAAAAAGAAAACACAGAGTCTTGTGAACCATGAATATGGAAGTTTACCAGTGCAGTGAAAACAGTTCCGGATTTACTATCATAGAAAACAAATGCGAAAATTCCTTCAAGATCTTTGATGACCTGATCAGCGGGGTAAGGCCCACGGTCTCGTAGCGTCCGATAAGCTTCAATCACAAACATGGCTTCGTTGGTGTTCTTTTACAGTCCGTATTGTTTGATTTGGGAGCAGAGATTGTTCAAACTCCCCATGAACAAACAATATATGTCATCAAAGGCAGTGAACAACCTTTGATGAATGGAGTAAGGACTATCCGGTTTAACATAAGCAAGCGCAGCAGCGTCGCCACTAATTCCACGCCGCCATGACTTGTGTTCTTCATCACATCGAGAGAGAGAGAGAGAGAGAGAGAGAGAGAGAGAGAGAGAGAGAGAGAGAGAGAGAGAGAGAGAGAGGGGGGGGGGGGGCTTTAGTTAAATAATTATATAATTTTTTTTTAAATAGAGAAATCTCATAAATGGTCCCTGTGTATTGAAATAACGAAAATACCCCTCACTTAACGGTAGAAAGCTGACGGAGTTAGGCGGAATGACCATTTGTTAAAAGTTTTGAAACCACAGGGACCATCTGTGAGGTTTTTTGAACTTAGGGATTAAACTTGATATTTTCGGAAACCACAGGGACCATTTTTGAAGTTTTGTCTTTAATATATAAAAGAATTACACAATAATTAAGAAGAAATAATTTAACAAATTAATTTGTGGGAGTATTTAGAGTAAATGTAACTTATGTAAAAATTATTAAGGTTGAGGGGCTAGAATGTAATTTTAAAAAAATATGAAACTTTAAAATAAAATAAGAATGGGGATATTATGGATCAATATAAGGAAGAAAAGGGACTGCTATTGTAATTTGGGAATTGCAATTACTTAGATAGGTTTCAAGTTTGAAACCTCCGTCGATTCCTCGCTCTTTTTCCTTCGGTTACGTCCTATGCATTGTAACCTAATTAAAGATGTCGTTGATCTTCATTTCTTTGGGGCTGCTACTTCGCGAGGGGAGAGAGATCGTAAAGCGAGAGAGGAAGTCGGGGAGAATTGAGGTGAGGCCGACAGGTTTTTCTTTAGTGACGCATCGAAGCTTTGAGAACCGAACCCAAATCTTGTAAGCCTTGAACTAGCATCCAGCAACAAGAACGGGATTTGAAATTCCTAGTAAGTATCCAAAACGAAAAAGCTTGCTGTGTTTTATTATAATCTGTCCCCTAGGCATCGTTGCGATGTTGTGTTTTCTTTTTCTTGGACATCATGATCTATCATTGATCCAACAACAAAGCAGGGGGATAGAATAAACCCATTTATCTCACCCAAACCGCATCAATAAACTCATGTGCATGGTCGATTTCATTTTTTTATGTACCTTTGATCGAGTATATGATCAAATGGGATGCTTGACATATGACTCTTGCTTAACCTTGAACTGTGATAACCTAGTGTGTTCTAAACCACAATTTTACCATAAAAAACAAATACAATAAATATAGACGACATGTAGTCTTTTTAACTAGTTGTGATGGTGAGCATAATAAATGAAATATTCAATAAAATAATAAGACATGAAGTTTTCCATTTTATTAATTTGGGAGAAACCGTTAACGATTTAAGAAGATATTGCACCATGCAACTTGACTTTTGGAAAACTTATTATTAAACATGAGGCTTATTACACTAGATCTCATAATTATCACCATTTTTAATCCTTTAGTTTCGGATTATATTAATAATATAATTACATGTTTAAAATTTCACCACATGTGTTGATCTTAAAGTAAATGGTGATTTTTGGTAAATGTCGGGATTCTGCACAGCAACGTTAACCTGTCTCGCGGGGCATATAAACGTCATTCAGTCCCGAATTAGGAAATGACCTCAAGAGGAAAGTTGTTGGAAATCGAGTCTAGTTTTCAGAAAATCCAGAATCAGATCAATCGGAGTTACGAATTCTATTTTATGATAAAAACACTGAACAATGATCATGGCTGGAATTATAAAAAAAAATACAATATAAAATTAAAATATGTTAAGCTAAACTTATAGACTTTGAATGTACTTAGTAACTTGATGATATATGCCATTAGGTGAGGTCTTGACGCCTTCAAGAGAGCTCAAAACTTGGAGTTACACAAATGATTCGTCAAGGCCGAGGTGAGTTAGTAATTTTTACTCACTAAATGTGCATAATTCCCGAGTACATTTCACACATGGATCATTGATTCACTTTATGTATAAATTAGTCAATGTTTTGTGTATGAGTATGATATGTACAATTAACATGCTTGCTTGCTAGTTTCCATGCTTAAGGTCTAAATTGATAATCGACTCCATTATGGTGATTATGTTGTTTATGGTATGCTAGCATAAATTTGATTAATATGATGATAGTTTGTTATGCTTTGGTGAATTGTTGATGTATTTGGTGTTATGATATTGGTTGATTGTATGAAATTTCATGCTTTATATGGCGTGTTGTTGAATCTTGCAGGGAGTTGCGTAATTGGTAGGGTAGTTTATTAAACTTGCCTTAAACCCTATCCGGAATAAATTTGGTGACATATTAGGTTGAAAGAGAACCCATACAAAAGAGCTTAAGCCGTTTTGGTGTTAGTCACCTCGTCTATCTAGAAGATCTCGCGATACATGGTACACGTACACTATCACTACAGTGTTCGTGGACTGGAGTTGTGTGGTCCTAGCAAGGAGGACTAGTACAAACTTCACGTTGGAATTGGGAGGTGTTATGGATGTACGACACTGTTGGTACCAATCCTAAACGATACCGCGGAATACTTGTATTTCGCATAGTCGGAGTAGCGAAAGGGTTGTCTGAGGTTGGTGTTTCATGTGGAAGTCATGAGCCACTTAGAGCATTCAACAATGCGGGCACACAAGTAGTGAACTGGGTGGTTCCTTTAGGGTAGGATGTACATAGAGTCTCGTGACTATCATAGGACGCTTTTGGTGATATGTGATGCTTTTGGTGAGATTCCTTTGGTGTTATGCTTTTGGTGACATTCCTTTAGTGTTATTCTTTTGGTGACATTTCTTTAGTGTTCTTCTTTTGGTGACATACCTTTGGTGATATGTTTTTATTGACATACTTTTAGTGATATGCATTTGGTGACATACTTTTGGTATTATGCATTTGGTGATGTGCTTATGGTGATATGCGTTTGAAGATATTTATTTCTTTTTGGTGATATATGTTGCTTTTGGTGATAAGTGTTGTTTCGGTGAAATGTTATGCTTTTGGTGTTACGTGATAAATTTCCTACTATATGTGAGTTTGTGTTGCTTAGTGTTATGATCTCATAAACTGAATTGTTGGCTTGTTTGGGAAATTGTACGTTTTCCTACGACTATATGCAACTTTTATTAACTCGCTCAGCAGGGGTTGACACTTGTTTCTTTTACTTTGTGCCATGTGATTGGTACAGGTAGCTTAGGAGCTTGGATTGGTGAGAGGGGTTGCTAATGGGTAATAGATTTCAATATCGATACCAATCTTGGACACGTTTTTTATTATTTACTTTAAAGTACTTTTGCTTCTGCTACATTTTAATTGGTTTGGAATAATGTTTGAATTTTTAAGTAACGTTGTGGTTTGAAAATGTTTTAAACTAATATAATAAAGTATTCCATTGCGATTTTCCGTTAAAAGGTTTTTAAAATGATAAAAGAAAATTTTGAGGTGAAAATCATGACATTATATTACACCCTTCCAGGGCAACTCCTTCAGCAAAACCATCTCACCGACCTGAAACTCCAACTCATATCGACGCTTGTCGGCATAACTCTCCTGTCGACTCTAAGCTGTCTGCAACCTCTGAGTAATCTGTTGAATAAACACTAACGTCTGAAGACTTTCTCAGTCCTTCCCTGCCGACTCTAAGTTGTGCAGCTGCGAGGGCTAGGATACTTCTTCATCAGGGTTGTTCAGGATTGTTGGTTTATGTCTTGGATATGAGGGTTGAGACCCCGATAGATTTGGGAAGTGTACCGTTTGTACAGGATTATCGGGTTGTATTTCCCGAGGAGTTGCCTGAGGTGCCTTCAGAGAGGCAAGTAGAGTTTCACATTGATTTGGTGTCGGCTGCCGCTCCGATAGCTAAGGCACCGTACCGGCTAGCTCCGCCCGAGATATAGGAGCTATCTATGCAGCTTCAGGTGCTGCTAAACTGAGGGTTTATTCGTCCGAGTAGTTCCCCGTGGGGAACTACCGATCCTATTCGTGAAAAAGGATGGGTCACACACGATTTATATCGACTATAGGGAGCTAAACATGCTAATGGTGAAAACCGTTATCCGCTCCGAGGATTAGTGATTTGTTCGATCAACTACAGGGTGTGTCTTGGTTTTCCAAAATTGATCTTCGATCGAGGTATCATTAGATGAGGATTAGGGCTAAGGATATACCGAAGACAGTTTTCAGGACTTGGTACGGACACTATGAGTTTGTGGTGATGTCATTCCGGATCACCAATTCCCGAACAATGTTCACTGATCTCATGAACATGGTATGTACACCGATGTTGAATCGGCCGGTGATCGTTTTCATTGATGATATTCTGGTCTATTCTAAGGCCAAGGAGCAACATGCGCAACATCTGAGGGAGGTATTGGAGACACTGAGAACGGAAAAGCTTTATGCCAAGTTCTCAAAGTGTGATTTCTATTTAGGAGAGGTGCGGTTTTTGGGGCACATCATCAACCAAGAGGGTATTTCGGTTTGATTCGGCCAAGGTTGAGGAAATGATGCGGTGGGAAGTACCGAAGATTGCATCTGAGATCCACAGCTTCTTGGGTCTAACGAGGTATCATCAGAGATTCATTAGGGATTTCTCCAAAATCGTTGTGTCATTGACCCATTTGACAAAGAAGAATGTGACTTTCCGGTGGGGCCCAGACCAACAGTCAGCATTCGAGACCTTGAGGCAGAGGTTAAGTGAGTCCTCGATTCTAGTACTAACCGAAGGGTTGGATGATTTGGTGGTGTATTGTGACGCATCAATCTCGAGGTTAGGGGTGGTTTTGATGCAGAGGGGGCATGTGATCGCGTATGCCTCGAGGCAGTTGAAGCCACATGAGGCAGATTACCCCACCCATAACATGCAATTAGGGGCAGT